GCAGAGACTTCTCAAACCTCATATCCTAGAACAGTGGATTCATGAAAACCAGAGAAAACCTATAGACAGAAAAATATAAACGAAACAGAACAATTTTCAAGAAATAATGGTCGATTTTGCGTCATTTTGTGCGCAAATGTCATTAAAAAAAACCCTAAAAACCAGCACATATTCGAGATCGACAACACAATTGAAAAAACGAGCCCATTTTCAAAGAGAACAAGCGACTCCTAGTCATGGATGGCGAAAAGGTCTCCAATTTATGGAGATTTTGGTGGATGTCGAAACGGCCAGTCACTAGTATACAGTGAATGCAGTTTTTTTTCGCAAACGGAAGAGTCTTTTCCGGAACCAAATCTGAGGACAAAAAAAACTAACCAAAAACCTTGTAAGTTGAACAAACGGGTTGGTAGTCCTCGTTTTTTGCACTCATAATACTAAGGAAATAAAAGCTTGAAAACGAAGGCAGTAAATTCACGGGTTCCAGAGCAAAGCAAAAAACAGTCAACGAGAACTGTTTCCAAATCTTCAAAAGTCGAGTATATACGATTGAGCAAATTCGACCGTCACGAAAATTCAAAGAAATCCAAACATGACCTTATAGGCCTATAACGCGAATTTCTGGACATTGAAAAAAGAGACGAATTTCACCAGAATTTGAATTGACACTTAGAATTCTCCTCAAATTCGAAAGTCATACTTTTCGAATTAAAGACCTACAACGAGTGCTCGAAAATGAATGACTGACATATGAATTTGAGTTGGTAATATGTCAAGTGTTTATAGCCCTATAAACACGTGACACAACATTGAAAAATCGGATATAAAAAATTGAGCAACTTATAGTCCTATAAGTTAAAAACTAGAAGTTGCTCGAAAACGTAAAACAATTGCTTTTCAATCGACAGCTAAGCTCAGGGCAAAATAAGCGTTCAAAAAATGATCACTGTTTTCCCCTGAACGCAAGAAAACCAAAAGTCCCGGAAATCTGTCAAGTGTTAAGAGTCGTAAAAACTGCTAACAAAACAGTGAAAAATATGTTCTCATACACTGATAATTTTATTGCCCTATAACTTAATAAAATTAAAGTTGGTTCAAAGACGTACAGACACATGCTTTGTGAATCGACAACTGAGGTTAGGGCACAATAAGCGAACGTAAAATGAACGTCGTGTCGCGTTTGATGCGATAAACTTCCTTTTTGTTTTCAGGACTACAACCCCTTAGCCATGACGTCGAAGTTTTCGTACCCTTCATGAAACTCGGATTCTGCAAAGTAAACATCGCTAAATAGCTGAAACTCAAACCGCAAATCTTTAGTCAATTTCCAAATTCTCAAAATCGAAAACTGAAAGTACACAAAATACAATGGTAAAGATCGCCTAAAAATAATGGTTGGCCACACATGCCTAACTGAACGGGGTCACGCAACTACGACTTGCTAATGTACGAATTTACGCGGATTTAATGACCTCTAACTACTAAACTCCGATAATCTGGTGAACAACGAGAAAAGGAAACCTGGTCTGTTGCGGAACCAGAAATGACCTTAATCTCGATGGCTCTCTGACAACCTCTGAAGCAATCGTTTCCTAGAAGGTCTTCCTAGTCGAAATCCTCCGTTGCCATAGAATTTAACATCTCAGATATCTTTTGTCTGGTCTGCGAAAAAAGGGTAATGTCTGTCTTCAGTTGGAAGTTGTAACCAAGAATGCTGCAGCTCCAGTCGTAGACGTCCTCGGAAGGCTCTCTCGTAGTCTTTTCTTGAGGATTTGTCTTGAACTGAGGATAGTAACCCTCTCCTTTCTCACGTTGTGCAAACCAAGCGACTTTGAATCGTTTACGTGCTAGCAGCTCGACGACCTTGCCGATGTGGTAAGATTTGTCTCTTTCTTCTTGCCCCGAACAAGCTCGTAGTGCGATGAAAGTGTTGACCTCGAGATCGTCGTACTTTCCATCTCTGTCCTCTCGAAACTGTCTTCTCTTGCGTGCGCCGATGTAGACGGGTCTCTCAGGAGGGAAAAAGTCACCCCAACGTTGGTCAAAGCCATCAACGGTTGGTGAAACTTCTTCACCTGCTCTGCTGACATCAGCTATTACAGAGGGTCACACGAAAGGCTCTTTGAAACTTCTGTCCTCGAGGTTGAGAGTTTCCTGCGTTGCTATGAACTTGTTCCACCATTCAATGTTGTGGGGTTGAGCATAATACGACAAGCTGTGTACGTTGCTTTCAAGGCTGCGATGGAAAGTACAACATCGTCAACCTTGAAATTCGAAGATCCTCCCGCTTTTCGATTACGGACATGACCTTCACTACTACCGACCTTGTCATGCCTCTCGTCCTCACCCCGACAAGTAAGCCGAAATCTAGCTTTCAAAGATCGGATTGCATGCTTCGGCGAAGCTTGAACTTGTCCTATTGGCTCTGACTTGAGGATGTCTAGACCTTCTCTGTCGTTTGGCTGCCACTGCGAATTGTGATATTGCTTGCTCCAAATGCGCATCTCCCGTTGTCGTTGCGATTGATTTGGACATGTTGATTGAAGCTAATATCATTGATATTATGGAGATGATCCTAAATGTACAACTCCAGTCCATTGTTTCTGCCATCTCCTCCACGTAAACGCCATGATCTTGTTCTACCTTGTATGACTCCCTAATGATGTGTTGCAACTCAGGAAGATCGAACGTTTTTTATGTGCAACCAACTTTCTCGAGAAACAGCTGAACATATGATTGAGGTCCTCGTATGTGTGACCTACAAGAAGAAAGTTTAACTTCACTTAACTAAAAACTCTCATCTTTACTAAGAACACGAGATATGTCAAAACAATTTTTTTCTTTTTCTCTTTCGAAGTGTTATCAAGTGTAAGATACAAGACTCTCGGAAATGGTCTAGGAAGTTGAGAAATCCGACGATGAAGAACAGTTGGCATTAAATTAGAATATGATTTGAAGTATTCAAAGAAAACAGTTGCAAAAGCGTTCGATGAAATCCTAACACCTTGGCCCCAACCACGTGAACTTTCACAAAGTTCTCTTCTTTCAGTTTGGAATCCTTTGGTACCCTTCTGAAGTGTGGCAGTATGGTCTTGCTCTGATCCATGCCATCGATGATCATTGCAACGTACTCTGTCGGTCGGCCGGAAGCCTTGTGACGATGCTTACTGAGTTTTTGTCTCTCTTCTCCTTGCATTAACCAGTGCTTCTCTAGTGCATTGTCGAACATTTCTGCACAAAAAAACAAAACAAGGGAATACTTTGTCAAAACATGTTCACAAAGAGAGACTAATCCCGAATAATGACCTGGTAACCGAAGACGATTATTACACAAAGTGTTATAGGGCTATAACTCAGAAAAGTCAGTCCCCAAGTGTCGTCCTTTAAAATTTAATTGTTTCTCAAAATCTATGTTTTGATTAAATGAAAAAGTACCGGCATGACAACGAAGACATCACTAAACACGTTTTAGTTTTTTAGAGATAGTCGGTTGAAGGGACGTAACAAAAAACAGTCAGTCGCCTTAAACTAGATAATTACACAATCTTTTCTTTAACAAACTTTTTAGTTTCATGATAATTTTTTCTAGAATGCGCTAATCGCAGCATGTACTGTTCTATGACAAGAAAACTTACAGGACTTTAAGTCAAAAAAGTCAGTCACGCTGTGAAAAACATTGAATAATGAACACTGAGGTGCTTTCATGAGATTTGTCGTTACCAGATCTTCTTTGGCTAACTATGTATGACGAAACAAATATGATTTGTCTGTAAACACAAATGCTACAAAGGGTAGTACAGAGAGAGAGATCGAGAGAGATCGAGAGAGGTCGAGAGAGAGAGAAAACAAGAAGAAGGCTTAGGGAGAGAAGAAGAGTAGTTTCATGAGAAACCTTTCTAAAATGCGCAAGTCACAACATCTACTTTTCTGCAAAAAAACACTTATAGGGCTATAAGTCGTACCAGCTCGTCTCGCGGTGCCAAACGTTGAAGAATGAACACTTAGGTGCTTTTGCGAGATGTTGTTTACCAGATCTTCTTTAACTAATTATTTAAGGGGAAACACAAATGATTCTTATGTAAAGACAAATGTTAAAAAGGGCAGTAAAGAGAGACAAATGGAGAGAGAGAGAGAGAGAGAGAGAGAGAGAGAGAGAGAGAGAGAGAGAGAGAGACAGACAGACAGACAGAGACAGAGAGAGAGAGAAGAAGAAAACTTAAGGAGAGAGAAGAAGAGTTAGGAAGACAGGGGAAGAAAAAATAAGCATTGAGATTCTGTCATTACCTCGTTCGAATGCACTTGTTTCCTGTGAACGGCCTGTCTTCAATTTCAGACATATGGAACAAACTGAGAACCTCTTCAATGCAGGAATGAGAACTTTGGGGCAGTAAACCCTCCAAATGGTCATAAATCTGGAACGGGAAGGAAGAGTCTTCTTTGTGTAAAACTCTTTGCAGTCTCGCTTGAAGAACTCGTACACGTCTCTGCGCCGGAGAGCTTCTGAAATATGAAACTGGTCGCTATTCGGCATACTCTCAGTGTTAAATCGGAAATATTCAAGCAACCAAGCCAGAATTTGTTGTGATGAAGTAGATAATCCGACTGATCCTTTGTTTGCATGCTCGTACAACACTAGTCTGTCTCTGAAGTCTTTTTTGCGCAACTTTGCAACACGTGTGGTCGAGCATCCGTACAACTTTATGCAAACCTTTATGTCGTTGAATGTCACTCTTAACACCTCTAAATCTCCATCATCCGAAAAATACGACGCAACCCTCATCTCTGCGAGAAGGAAGTTGACTTGCTCAGGTTGTTTCATCGCCCAAAATTCTTCTCGCTTGTAGAAAACATCTTCAGCCGTGAACTTCCTGTAACATTTGGCCTTGCAACAATCTTTCTTGAGAATCACTTCGACATTCGTCATGTTCACGTGGTAGTTAGCTTTCTTGTTGTAAACACGTACGTTCCTGCCGCGCTTTCCAAAGTTGTAAGGAGGTTTCTCACTCTTGCTTGATTTGTTGTACAATTCTCTTCTCACCTCCTGTGCAACTACCTGCTTCGCTTCTCCTAAAAGTTATCCAGATAAACTTTTCTTGAACATGTCGACATCAATTTCTGACTCTTCCTTTCCTTCATCGTCCTCGGAGTCTGTGTCGTCCGAATCCTCATCCTTGCTCAATTCCTCCTCCTCCTCATTGTCGTCGCTGGATTTCTCCTCCTCATCATCGTCGTCGCTAGATTCCTCCTCCTCAATGTCGTTGTCACGCAATTCTTGCGCAACACTGTTGTTGAACATTTCTTTCACAACAAAGCTCTCGCTCATGTCCTGTACATCGTCAATCTCTCTGGATTCTTCCCCTATAGCGTTCGGGCACTGACGCTTCCCTGGGTGCTCTGTCTGGACTGTACTCCCAGTTTTGCCAATTGCGCAGAGACCTTTCACTGTGTTTGTCGCTCGCCATGGGGCAATAACCCTTCTTGTTGTCGTGTTCGATCGCGGACGCTTCGGAAACAAACAGACATTGGTCGTCGTCTCACCATTTGCACTGAGCTTCGGTAGAGGGTTCTGCTTCTCGCCTCCGCTTGTACAACATTGACGCAGGTCCGGAAACCACCTAACAATCTTCGTCTTGACACTTTTGGCAGCAACACTCTTCTTACATTGAGAAAGGCCTGGAAACCATCTCACGGGGTTAATCTTGCGACTACTCTGAGCGCACCTTTCGGTTAAAGAATCCATGCCAGGGTGATATGATATGACAACATAACGTATGCGCGAGACAGTGTGTTAGAGGGCTCTAGAAGTGGACGATGGCGTCACCTACAATAGAGAAGACTCGGTGTTAGCACGAGAAAGTGTGTCAGAGGACAGACGGAAGAGCGTCGCTAACGGGCGTAAATTTCATGGACGCCAAATCGAAATAAAGTGAGAACAACCCCTACTGCGCCTGCTGTCAAGAACACCATTCGCAATTTGGGATTTTCTGCCAATGAATTTTGGAGAAGTGGAATTCTCGAGTCGTTAGCAACAAAATATTCAGAGAGTCAGGACTCTCGGTGAAACAAATAATTTCGCGCGCTCGGTTAATGGGATCCCCATCAATAATATCTTCAACAATTAACAATTTTCCGCCACGGTTTTCGTAAAAGTTGATCTTTAAGACCGTTAGTGACAAAAATTTCAGAGAGTTAGGACTCCCGGTTAAACAAATAATTTCGACCGCCCAACCACTGGGATCGTCGTCAAAAATATCTTTAACAATTGACAATTTCCCGCTAAGGTTTTCACAAAAGTTGAATTTTCAGACCGTCAGCGACAAAAAATTCAGAGAGTCAGAACTCCCTCCAACGGTCGTGTTCAAAATTGAAATTTTAGATAGCTAGAGACAAAATTTCGGAGAGCCCAGACACAATTAAACGAAACATTCTGAACTCCAAGCGCCCGCTTACACTTTAATTGGTTCCTGCCTGGGTTCAGTGCAGAATTTTACTTAATGGAGACCAAACTACTAAAATTTGAAAGACCCCACTACAAAATTCCCCGAATTGTGAGAAAGACTCTGTAAGGTCGGTAGCAGCAAAAAAAAATTCAAACAGGACGAGCATCGTTGAGCGTCGTCGTAGCTTAAAGATCACAAATACAAACAGAGAGAGAGAGAGAGAAAGCAGTGTCGAGTGTCGTCGTAGTTGCTTAGAGGCCGTGGTTGCAGTGTAGATCGTCGTTCGTATGGAACACACAAATATACGAACAGAGAGAGAGAGAGAGAGAGAGAGAGAGAAAAAAAAACTGTATTTGAGATTAAATTAGTTTTAAGGACACAATTGCCTGAAGGACTGTCTTTCTCATCTCGTCCCCTACCTTGCGTGGGTGTTTCAGATACAAAGTTTTATTAATAAGTTGCCAAATTTTTTGAAATTTTGTCATTTACTTAGACTGATGTAGCCTCAGTCTTCTTTCCATGTTCGTCCTCCACAACCAAGGTTCTAGATATAGCCGTATAGTTCTGATTCAATCAACGATGATAGCGAAACGGAGAAAAACAGTCTTTTAAAGGCCGGAGAAGAATATGTATGTTCGAGGTGGAACTTTTGTCTACGGACAGAAACACTAAAACTTGTTTTTCTCATTTCTTCTTGTTCCTTGTCTGGATCTAGGGATGTAGGACTGTATTTGTAACCTGCCTGACTTGTGTCGTTAATGTATGCCTGTGTCATCCGTCTTCTTTGCATCGACCTCCGCCGCAGCCAAGGTTACAAACAGGGCCCTAAAATCTAAGGTTCGGGCAAGAACGACAACAAAAAGGTAGAAACACTCCTTTTAGGGTCGGAAAAGAACATATCTTTTTTAGATTGAATTTTTGCCGAAGGATAGAAACACCTGAAGGAGTCGTCTTCGTTGAGACTGACTTTTAATGTTGTGGTAAAACCTGCTTTTAGTCCTTAAAGTGTCAATCTGAAAAAAAACTAGGACTTCTTCACTTGAAGTTAAGATTTGAAGTCCTAAAAAGTCATCTTTGTTGAGACCGACTTTTAATGTTGTGGTAAAACCTGGTTATAGTCCTATAAGTTTGAATCTGAAAAAGAGCGTGGACTTCTTCACATGAAGTAGTATTTATAGTCCTATAAGTTCAACCTTACTGAGTCCGACTTTAATGCTGTGGTAAAACCTGCTTAAAGTCTTGTAAGTGTCAATCTGAAAAATGGCTAGGACTTCTTCACTTGAAGTTACGATTTACAGTCCTACAAAAGTCTCTTCCCCAACCTTCGTTTTTTTAGATTCAGATATTGAAGCCCTGAAGTGCTAAAAATGCAGACCCCTAGAAGGGGCGGGACCTGTTTGTTTCAGAGATGAATTTACAATGTTAAAAAGTTACGGGGCCAGAGTCTGGCTTTAAGTGTGTTCAATGCTAAGAATTTGTACTCCTTGGAGTGAGTTTGGCGAAAAACTATTTTGAACAGCTAACTTTCAGGAAAACTTCTAGAGCTGGTGGGTTAACTCCGACAAATACAGTTTTTTGTCATTTCAGTGACAACGGTCTTGAATCCACGGTGCACGTGTCTCAGTGACATCACTTTTTGTTAGCTTTCAGGAGCCGACAATCCGTTGTCTCTGTCTCTAACGTTCTCTCTCTCTCTCTCTCTCTCTCTCTCTCTCTCTCTC